TTTCCCAAAATTACGGTTAGGTCGTGGATTCATAGCCAAAGATTAGAAATGAGATCAAATTCATATAATTGGACAAATTGGTAATCCAGTCCTTTAATTTTGATTTTGTGGTGAAGGGGATGGGGAGGGGAGGGGTTTTGTGAGTAAGAGGCGCGCGTGGGGGGGGTGGAATGAGAATATTTGAAAAACTAAGTGAAAGTTTAATTTTTATGGTGGATGCAAGTTTTCCAAAATTTCCTTCGCTTCTAAAAAGTTTGCTTTAATAGAAGGTTAATAATTTAGATCAGATTTATGGTTAAATTAAAAGTATTTGTATTCCAAATTTTATAAATTTTTAAAGATATATGATTTTTAAGAAAGTAATTAGTTATAGAAATAATATTTCGCTCTCTTTTCCCTTGTTTTTTTTTTTTTTTTTTTTCCGAATCAAACTTTAGTTAAATAAATTAATTATTTTAACATATTATCACTACACAACATATTATAAGTTTTATTTAAAATTTTATATAGTTTTAAAAGATCAAAAACTTGATTTATTAAAAACCATATTCTCCAAGTTTGTTATCTTTATCTCTAAATCTAAATCATATAAATATGCTCTGTTTGATTTTTGTTAAGATTTTATGTTGCTTCCATATATCAATTTTTTATATAATGATATAACTAATAAGTGGTGATAATATTCAAATTTTATTTATTTTTATAAATAAATTAATTAAATAACTATTTTTCATTGGCAATGAACTTAATTATATCAACTAAAATATCGTATAAAAAAGTTAAAAATGAGAAAAAAATCAAAGTCCATTTTTTGTATCAAGCCATTTAAGGTATAAGGAAAGCTTAGTTCATTATTATTGTTGAAGATATTGATTCAAGATATGATAGAAATTGGATAAGAGTCAATCAAACAAATACTTCAGTCAAATCATTTATTTTAGTTAAACCAATATTATTTTTATTAAGGAACCTTATAGTTTTACTTTTTCTTTATATACACTAAATGTTCACTAAACTATGTTGCCCTTTAAATCACAACGATATAGAATTGAAATATAACTCAACAAAGAATCAAATATATATTCCTCTTTACGTCCATTAAATAGGTTGTCATTTGAACACGAACACATATTCTTAAAATCTAATTAAAGAAAGGATCATATTTATACTTTACAAACTAGTGAAAAATAAATGTAGAAAACATAGCAAAAAAAATAAATATCATATCAGATTATTGATATAAAGAGATTCTGAAATTATGAAATAAATTTATAAAATACAGTAGCTTAAAGAAGCACCGATACAAAATGGAGCCAACATAAAAGAAACTCAATCCGCAAGCTCTTCTTCCCCGTAGCACCAACTAGTTAAAGCAAGACCCCATAATTTCAATTTTCCAATTCTATTTTCAGCCAAGAATATAAAGAACATCTTAATTATATTAACTCTGTCAGAGTAACTCCTACAAATACAAAAAATGACAAATAAACAATAGACATATACCACAAGCATAATTAAGAAAAGAATTACTTGGGTTTCAGATTACAAGTTAAGCAAGCAAATATGGAAGAGATCAAACAAAATGCTACTTTCTTTTTCGAGTTCAAGGTCATCTTGACCAAAATTTGCAGGGTTTTATACCTCTTTTTTTTAAAAAAAAAAAAATCCCTTTAGCCCCTTTCATCTCTGTCTTAACCTTTCATTTTTACATTATTCCAATTAATAAATATATGGTGCATTAAACTAATTTGCATAACTTTTGCTTCAAGTTCATGCGGGAAAAAAAAAAAGAGAGTTTAGCCGTAGAAAAATAATATTTTTCTTACTCTTACTTCTTTGTTGTTTTTTTTAATCTTAACTTTTATACTTTTGTTTACTATAATCTTTTCATAACATGTTTATTGCTGAAACTAAAAAATGACATGCTAAACTGAAAAAATGAAGATGTATAATTCATTTTTTATAATATTTTTATATTGAAATAACATAAAAAAAAAATCTGATAATATGTTTGAAAATTTTACAAAAAGAAACCAATATTGTCATGAAGAGGAAATTTCATAATGATACCAAAAAAGTTCTAACCTAGAACAATAAGTTGCATGCAACAGTGTGGAGTATTTGCAGTGCTTACACTCCTTGATGGAATCATTAGGGCATGTAATTATCACATTCTCCTCCATTAAGAGAAACACACCCATAGTTGATAATTAACAACCAGTAATAGACACAAAAGGATAAGTAGCAATACTAAAATCATAAATCATTACTCATGACGAATTCAGAAAATAAAGAAAACCTAATTTGGGCTTTTGATTTAGTGGCTGAGTTGATCAAGTAAATTCTGAAACACAAGTGTGCAAAATAGAGATATCTGCCTATGGTTAACAATGAAGAAAAGCTCATCTATTAGCAGGAGAAAATGGATAACCTGCCTTTGTTAGCAACTATTGGTTGGAACTTGGAGAGAGGGGATGTTTTGGAGAACTTGGAAATTGAAATTTCTTCTTTTTTTTTTTTTTTTTTTTAAGAAGCTATAAATTCCCTCTTTAAACAGTTAGTTCATTTTCTTTTTTGAAAAATTTTGTATAACTAAAATTGAGAAAATATTTTAGTAATTCACTTTCCACAAAATCTTAATATAAGAACTTTTTCATCCATAATAAAATGTTTTCATTAATGTGTTATGTTTGCCTGCAGCATTGATAGCTCAATGACCTGAGAACCTCCTGGGCGGGCATTGGCATTTTAGGTTAGCTTAATGTCATATTATTTTGCAGCTAACCATGTTGTTCTTCATTCTCATGGCTTAAACAGACTTCAATCCTAATCAAGTCTAAGGCGAAACCTCTTGCAAATTGAGCTCATTAGTATTGAATTACTAAAACAACAGTTTCTTTTTTCTAATCAACAAGAAAATCAGAAGCTTCTATTTCTACAACAAATGACAACTCAGCAGCACCAGGAACAAAAATAAAAGCCAGTAAAAGCAAATAACAACTCAATCTGCTGCTGCAATTTGTTTACTGGCCTTTCCCCACCAAGGATTCAAGTTGATGTAACCATTTCACATATTGACCCTGCTCCTTTTTATGTAGGTGGAGGAGGAGGAAGTTGATAAGGGTTTCTCCGATTCCCCTGGACATTAGATATTCCTTTAGTGCTTCTTGCAATTGAGGGTCCAAAGACCTGCAGACATGAAAAATCAGAGACACCCACGCACAGAGATGCACTCATATATATGGACAAAGGAAGAACAAAAGGATGAACTTGAAGCATTTGGCTGAAATGTGCGAGTATGTTAATGTTGTGCAGACCATAAATAACTGACAAATTTGTTCTAGAGTAACACATGGCCGAGCATGAGTACTGCATTATGAAGAGAGAATTCATGACCTTAATTACATTCAAAAGGAAAATGAAAAAGAAGAATTATTCTATCATTAATAGCCTTGACCACATGATGGGACTTAGTTGCCGCCCATGTAGGAAGTCTGTTATCTAAACCACTTCACTATGAGGTTCATAAAAGACCATTGTCAATGAAGAAACTAAATGAAGGATTAAATACCACATAATAACCGAGTGCCAAAAGCATCTTCAGTAATAAATTAAGTTAAGAATACAGAGCAATCCAAAGTGAGACTTGCATATGTAAAAAATATACAGGTAGCATATTATCAGTGCTCTTTGAATATATTGTAAACTTTTTTTCAAAAAGAGATTCTATGAAGAGAATCAATTAAGGAATCCTAATGGATAAAACCCACGAGGAAACTAGACACCAAGGCAACTCTTCCAAAGCTCTCATCAAATTCTTGTACCTTGAGAATGTCTTCAACATTTCCAGAGTCCAAAATCACCCAGATAACAGAAGGGATCTATCTAAAACACCAAAGAGCAGATAATATTTCTCCTCGAGCAATCAAGTCTTCTCTTTAAATAGTCTAGAAAGGATTTTATATCAAGCAATGCTAGGACTGAATAACTGAATATACCAACTCCGGGGGCAGAAACCATCCATATAATCCACCAAAAGATAGGAAGGAGGAAGAATAGGTCTACACAAAATCCAAACATGTTCGAATAATTTATCTAGGAAGTTAGCATCTGCTGTTTTAAAGCTGAAGACCAAAGGCCAGGAAATGCTCAGATAATTGGAAAATAAGCCACATACATTCTAGCCATAAAGAAATAAGTGGCCCCCACTGGAAATTGGCAGCAAAACCTACTAATGGTCCAATACCATTTGCCAATAAGTCCATGCCTCTCCATGACCATGAGTGAGAAGATACATGGAAGTCTAAATTTCAATCATCCCCGATTCTATCCTAAAGCTGGAACCCCTCCACCAACCAAGAGATCTCCTTTCAATTATTTAAGGCAAATAACAAATCCATCTAAGAATGTACCAATGTAGCATGCAATAGCATGACCTGGTGGAATACACTTGCATGGAAGGACAATTGATTGTCTGCCATTGTTATTTTGTATTTTCAGGATCATATCTAGGACAAAGGCTTGCAAGAAGGCAAGAAATGACATCAGAGGTTATTCAGTCATGTTAATGCTGCTAATATGTATACATAATGTAGGAGAATAAACCATACCTGAATAAGGGGCCCCTGTAAGCTGAAGAAGAAGTAGAAATTGGAGACTGAAGATAGTAGGCATTACGGATGTCAAACTTATAGCTATTGGTACTGCTATCAGCAACTCTGCAATCAAACTGCAAAATTGAGCTCAACCCAGGCTTTCTTATGCAAACTTTCATCAAAAGCTCCCTGTGCAATGTAGTTCCTCCTAAGGTCTCTAGACCCAATAAAGCTGAGACAGCAACCTCCTCACCGGACTCGCACTTCCTCTGCATGACAACATCTTGTGTCTGGGGTGAATCCCAGTCCACAACAAAATCTCCTCCATAACTAGTATCCTGTACTAATGCACAGAACTATGTTCCATTAATAGAAACAAAGACATCTTCCTTCTTGTAATCCTAAAATGGTGAGCCGTGCACATGCAAATGTCAAATGTCAAGAATTACATAAGGAGCAACATGGTTGCTTGGAAACGAAAAGATTACAACTCCGTGATTCAGTTTCCGTTCCATTCCTTCATCTGTTAGTTAATGCTTGATATAATACCAATTAAAAATTCATTTCCAAATAAATCAAAATAAGAATTAATTGACATTCAAATACAATTATTCACAACAATACAACTCAGTTCATCCGATTGCCACACCAATTCAGAATACAGACCATAAAGAAAATCTCCATTAAACCAATCACAAGAATACCACAAACAATCACTATTATCAAATTCTGGAAGCTTATTGCCACGATAACTGAAGAGAAAATCTCTGACTACAAACTAAGCAGTACAAGAAACAGTGTTTTAAAGAGGTTATACAAAAAACAAACTGGCTCGAGTACTAATTTGGATCCTACCCAGGAGATTAGGTGTTTTTCTGATATATAACAGGAAGAAGTACGGCATCTATGACAATAAAAAGGCAACAAAAACAACGATAACTGAAATCATAAATCACATTTGCTGACACCATTTATAAAGCATTGATGAACCAGTCCAAGCAATACTCATATTCATTTTCTGAAATTTTACTATGCAGCTTCTTTTTTATGAGATTCTGGAAAGAGGAAACCTGAAAGCGAGGATTGGATAGTTCGTGGGCGATCTCTGAGTGCAAGACCTTGAGCAAGTTGAGATCGTCTAGAGCTTTCTGTCCTTTCCGCAGGATCTGGGTCACCCTCGGCATTCTAATCTCACTCTGGTTCCGGTTTCGGGCGTTAAGCTTCAATTGGGTTTTAGTTCCTAAAAATGTCCATCTCTTGAATCGCACAAATCGGGTCGGTTTTTTCATGCCTGATTCTTTTTATATTTAAAATAACGTAAATGTTAGTTTTTTCTGAGTTGCTTTATTTTACTGTAATAGCTTCGTGGTAATTTTTTTTATAGTAAAAAATCTATAAAAATTTTATTCTCTTAATTATAAAAGTAGTTTTAAAATGTAAAAATTACACTCCTAAAACCATCAATTTAATTTAATATAAATGGACATGAAAAAATCAACTTAGGTTAAACTTTGTAATTTTAGTTTTTAAAATTGCAAGATCTAACTAGACCAACAAAAAAATTATATTAAATTTATAAAAAAATTACATAGGACATAGAAAATCCCGTCCTAATTTTATTTTCAGAAGTACAAATTCACTACAAAAAATCAAAATTATTTAATTTTCAAGCCCAATTTCTCATTTACCCTTTAAACTTTCTTCCTCCTCTCGAACCAGTAGCCAGTCTCCCATCCCTCTCAAAACCCTCTCACCTCCCCCGGAAACTGTAACCCCTCTCACCTCCATCTTCATGCTAACTCACCTTCATTTTCACAAAATCCTCCTTTCCTCTCAGAGCTTCACTCGGACTATTTCATCTAGTTCTTCATCCTTTTAACTCTTTCTCTCCATCTTCATTTACCTCCTCAAACCCCTGCTACACTTAGCTGCCATACACCACAATGCGCTCTTCTGCTTCCAGTCGCCAAACCTACATATCTCGCTCTCCAGCTTTCTCTCTTTCTCTCGTTCGTGGGAAGCACTAGTTCTTCTCAGCCAAATCGCAGAACTGAAGTCTAGATTATCTCGCCGGCAACGAATTTTTCCGTCCCCTACCAAAAGTACACGGTGCTGCAATCCTTCCCCGTGCTTCTTTCGGCAGGTGGTTTCTCTCACTTAGAATTTGTAGAGTCATTTTGAGCATTTGTTAAAATACATGAGCTCATGAGTTGTGCTCGAAATCCCATTTTTGTTACAGACATCGTCTATTTACTTTTACTTTCATGCTCTTCCTCTTTTCTTCTTTGTGATTTACAGCAAACTTTTCTCGGTGTGTGTGTGTTGCTGGAGCTTGATTTTTGAGAATGTTATTTTGAGTTTGTTTCAGTTAAATCAAATAATCTCTATATGCAGATATTTTTAATTTGGATAGAATAAAACAGTTAATTTTTTTTAATTCAATAAAACAATCAATTTATAAAAAATTTCAAGATCCACTGGAGTCACTGTCATTTTGGAATTAGGGCTTTGCTTCAAAAGCTAAAACCCATTTTCCCTCCCCGTGACAGCGATACATGACTTTGTTTCTCAGTGTGTAATGGCGAATGAACAAGACATGAGTAGCTGGACCGATCTGCTCCACTCCTCATCGAAGCTTCTTGAACAAGCTGCTCCTTCGGCTCAGTTTCCTCCTCTTCAGGTTTCCTTTTCTACTCATTTTCTCCGACGCATATTAGTTAGTTTCCTGAACTACTGGAAAATGAAGAGAAATTCAAATTAAGTTTTGAAATCTTCCTTTTTATGTTTTTTGGTAGCAGACCTCAGCCTACTTCCCACTTGTCTTTCTTATGAATTGAAAGAAAAATGCTGTAAATTACTTAAAGATGTCGTGCTATTATTTGTGGTAGTGTTTTTTTCTAATACCTTTTAAGTGGAGAAATTTCTTTGGAGGAAGTTTAAGTTGAGAATCTTAGGTTATTCACCAATATTCTGTTAGAGAAGTAGAAAAAGACGAGAAAATATATTTCTTAGGTCTGGGGAAGAGAACATCTGAGGTCCAGAAAGTGTCTGTCTATATATTTCTTAGCATTTTTATTCCTGGAAAATGATTTACTGAGTTGAAGAAAGCTTAGTTATAGTGTCATGCATCTGGTTATTGATCTAAGTCCACTATTCACATGGGTTTCAGAGGAACCTAGATCAGTTAGAAGCATTATCAAAGAAACTCAAGGCAAAAACGTTAAGAGCAGAAGCTCCTTCCCAGTCTATTGCAGCCACAAGGTACTTGTGTAGTTCCTTTCTGGAGTTTTCACTATGATTATTATCCAAAATTGATGTATGGATTTTTTTTGTTTTTCCACATCTTCTTGAACTCAAATTGGCATTGTATTTAAAACTATGTTCAGGGGATAATTAAAATGGTTGTTATCAATATTTTTTACTCTGTACCGTTTGTAGGCTACTTGCAAGGGAGGGAATAAATGCCGAGCAACTTGCGCGTGATCTAAAATCCTTTGAGTTGAAGGTAACAATCTCTATGTTCTCTTGGATATTTGATAACCTATATTAATTTGCTTCAAACTTTTGAAACTTTGAGGTTTTGACTTATTCTCCATGCTGTTTTTTGGATGAAACCTGTAATTAGAGGGCTGAGCAAAATAATATCTGAAAAGATAAAAATGCAATTCTTTTTGTAGCACTAGTTATACGTGTTGGTCAGTTTCTCTTTATTTTCTCATTAGAGATTAATAGCCATGCTCCCTTAATAAGTATATTCTGCTTCTTTTACACTCATCGTAAGGACACTGTTCAGTTGATTATAATATTTCATTGAGATATCCTTTGCTTGTGTTTTGTAATTTTATTTTCTCCCTTTGCTTAGTGGGAAGATATATATTTTATTAACAGTTTTCATTTCTTTTGAAGACAACGTTCGAGGATGTCTTCCCTGCTGAGGCAACTAGCGTTGAAGAGTATCTGCAACAGGTAATAAGTTCTACTCTTTAGGTTTGCCACTAGCGCAATGCTTTATGCTCATCATAGCCATTTTCTCTGTCATTATGTTTTTTTAATAGCAGTATTTGTTAATTCTTCCTTAAGTAATAAAGAAGAATTAATACTTTTTATGACTCGTGTTGAAATAAAATGAATTTTTATGATTTTTCTCTCAGAATTTTATTCTTTTGTGATACAATTTTGATTGGTTTTCTAATTCAATTGCTTTTATGTGGATCACACCATTCAAATGTATATGGAGACAATTTCTTGTGCTTCTGTTGAACTGGAATTTTACTCTAAAATTGCATTAACAAAAAGTCAATCTCGTCTCCCTTCACATGTACTTATTGATATTTTGCTTTGTGGATAAATTCTTCAGGTGATCATGGAAAGTGCAGTTTGATTGTATCGTTTTGTGGCTTTTCTTTATCTTAAGCAATAATTTTCCTATTCACTTGCATGATTCTGCCCACATCACATAATTTTTCCTGTTTTGGTGCATAATTGTAGATTATGTAATTCGTAATATATTTATTTCGAAAAAAGCTAATTTATGATATATTCACTTCAGGTTCACGAAATGGCAATCGTGTCAGCTATCCAAGAAGCTCAAAAGGATAACGTGAGAAGCTTTAATGATTACATGATGAAGGTTTTGGAGGTTAGTGTTTCCAATATCTTTATGTTACATTTGGTTTAATTTCTATCAATTCCTGGTTCCAGCTTTCATATTTTCTTATTGTGCATAACTATAACTAGCAATTGAATATTTTGATAGACTTGGAGAAGTATTCATGGGGTTAAGTGCTTCAGGAAGATCCTAACCCTTATCTCTTTGGTTGCTTTGTAAGTTATTTGGAAGGAAAGTAATAGAAGGGTTTTTGAGGGTATAGAGTTTTCTTTTGATATAATTAAGGATGTTTGGTTCTAGACCGTAGGCTTTTTGATACAAGGTCATCCTCTTTATTCTTTTGAGGACTTAGGCCACTTGGTAGGTGCTTTGATGGACTTGTAAAGAGCTATATACAAGTTGCACCCTCCTTGATGCTTTTTACTATTTTTATTTTCAAAAGGGTAACCGGTATTGAATGAGAATTTAATAAACTACAACCTTAATGTTGTTATTTTTAAGTATACTACTTTTGTTTGAAATCTTGTTTGGTATATATTAAAACATCCAAATTGTATTGCTAATGCTCTAAACCTAGTTTTGATTTCCTGCCACATTATACATCTTTATCATTTTCTTTTTTCTTGTATGAAAATACTCTCTCTCTCTCTCTCTCTCTTTAAAAGAAGTATACATTTCCTTTCCAACAAAAATTCCTCACTACCTTCATGATTTTAGAAGCTTCTTGTTTCATAGTACATGGATTTAGTTAACATTGTTCTTTGTTAATTTTTTAAAATTGTTTGTGGTTTGTCCATCTTGTTTTATTGATATTGAATCTATTATGTAAATTACTTTTTTCATGGATATTAAAAGGATTTTCAAAGTTGGCAGTTTGGAAATTGTCTGAGAGTAATTTTTTTTATAGTTCTCAAAGAAGGCATAAACATAAATAGAAATTATGCATGATATTGAGCTGAAGTTATATACATTAGTATTTAAGAGTTGTCAGATGGCAACTGCATAATAAAAAATGTGGCTTAGTTTCTTTAACTATTGAATGATATGTGTGTAGGATTCTTCTCTAAATGTATGTG